GAAACACATGTTGCGATGGTAACAAGCTGCAGCTACTCCGTGCACTTTCGGCATCTATGCCGGAACCCACTGTGGATCAAGTTGAACCCATTGAGTTGCGTTTCAGACTGAGGCGTTCTGCGGTGATTGGCAAGGTGCGTCAAATGAGGGAGATGTGTGGACGATCCCTTCCTCTTCTGTCAACATCCTTGCCCCTTGGATGATCCGCTTGGATAAGTTTAGCTTTTTTTCTTTATGATAGGTAAAATCCCAAGGGTCTCATTATTGAGTTTCTGTAAGCTTCAGGGGCTAGATTTCAGGCTAAAAAAAGAATGAACTCTTGACCTTAATTTCTCCAGGGCTGAGACCGTTGTGGGATTAGAGCACATCACAAACTAAACGCCATTGCATTCTGTACCACCAGGTCAGCTCACCTGGGACGAATGATCGGCTTTAGGTGCTCGGGCTTAGCGAGCCAAGTGATTGACGCCGTATGCGTATGTAGATAAGGTTGCTGGAATTCCGCCAGACGTGCCTTGCATATCCCAACAGGAGACCCTGTCAAACATTTCTTAAGGGAATGAGCGAATTCGGACACGCGTGGGAAAAGCAACCTTATTATTCCTGAAACACAGATTTCTATATGGCGAGTGTGGCTTGGGCTTAGCCAAGAATTGAAAAAAGAAACCCAATAATGAGGGTATATCTGCATAGTGTACAACATAACGCCGTCCGAAAAGTCTGGCTGCGGACATCCGTTATTTCCGAGGATGCTTCTTTAAAACATAGGGATCAGCGCCAGCACACTTGGTAGGTAGAGCTAGACGCCATGCTCGTTGCCCTATTTTGTAGATATGTAAACGCCTTTGATCAGCGAATAGGCCCAGGTCTAGAAAGCAAAATATTATTATTGCTGTTTCCTTCCTGGGATGTCCCAATCTTTGGACTCGTCATAATCGGCTTTAACAAGGCAATCCATGTGCCCCTTTTCTTAGGCAAGCTCATTTCAAGTTTCCGAAAATAAGTCACTCGCATGTCGGAGATCTTCAGTTCTCTATGCAGTATACTAGTATCTAGTTAGTTAAGCATTCCTATATTTGTAATAATGGCGATGCAAAATAACCTTTAGGGCTCAAAGCTGGCAAGGCATGGCTGGTATGGACCTGCTACTATCAAAGTATCTTGCAGCAATAGTGGCTTGCCTTAATCCCGACTCGTCGTTGAGGGATCTGCAGGGTTGTTCTCAAGAAAGGGAAATGAAGGAAGCATGCAGCAGGCGCGCGTGGGCCGGGGAATGTAGCATGGTGAGCCTTGTTCTATTTTATTTATCTTTTTGACCTCTTAGAGCTGAATTCCTGGGTCAAGACATATGTTCATGACCATGTGATCGACCACGTTAGTCCCCGACATTGTTTCACCCTAGAGGGAGCGAGGATACACGGACATTGCGAAGCGCTTGTACCGCCAAGGGTGGCTCCGGATTTGTTTGTTTCAACGAGTTCTAGACTTGTCTTGTTCCTCTTTTTTTGAAAAAAGGAGATCATGATCTTGTCCCTTGTTTGATAGCTCTGTCGAATATCCGTTTGCAGAAACTCGGGTTGATGTTTATTTCCCCCCCTCACTTCATTCCACAGCACATATGTAGAAAGTCTGGATATTCCGAAACCTGAAACATGCGGCTGGCCATGTGCCAAAGAGGAATGTTGGATTTACGCTCAGGATGATCGTAAAAGCGGGTCTTAGTCCACGCATCCATATGCGGCTGGTACCTGCCTCTCCTAGCCCCGGTTACCTGCATTTCAGCCAATGACAACAGACGTATCGCTTGTTTTGCATAGATGAGCCGACGGGTATGTGCTTTTTTTGCTATGGATCCTCGGAGTTTCCCGCTAAACGAATACCAGAACTGGCATGGTTCATGCGGACTCAGTCTTGGCGAACGTTGAGCTCAAGGGTCGAGATGCCGTCACAGGCCCATGGCAGGTGGAGTTTATGCACTCGGTGAAGATCTTTTCCTCGTTTTCTCCTTCATTTAACTTGTACTGTCCATGTGGGCTATGATGCGAAGCTCAAGCTCGCGTGTCCGGCCGCAAAGGCATGCCGTCCTCATGCATAGCGTCAGGCCTGCAGTGTATATATAAGAGCTTCCGCTCAGTTGTATCCTGGTCATCATCCACTCAGAAACTCATCAATTCATTCGTCTCTATAGTTCCTTTTCAAACATACCGATCAAAGCCAAGCACATACCTCGCTCTTGAGCACCACACTACCCCAACCCTCCTTCTTTCTACTGGGCCTCTTCCCGGTGACTTGACTCTTTGATTCACCTGAACCGCTTGCGAAGACCTCACGTTTATCACCAACAACCAACTACACATCATGTCTATCCCGGTCCCGGAACCCAGAACCACATCGTGAGTGTATCTATATCAAAGTGCATCCTTTTAACAATGAACTAACCGGCTTTTCCCACAGTGTTGCCAACGGCACCAGTACCAACGCCTTAAGCCAAGGCAACGTCAGCCAAGTGCCGGCAAGCAACCGCAGCAGTGTGGAACGATTCGCACGAGCACCAGCCTCCGAAGGCCCTTACTTCGCCAATGCGCGGATGCCAGAGAGATCGGCACACCTCGCGGCGCTATCAAGTCAACTCAATGCCATGGAGGAGATTATGAAGACTGGGAGTTAGAAGATCAAAGCAAATGAATAAATGAATAAATAAATAATCCAACACCAGCTTCTATGTATAGTCGGTCTATTAAATGGAACGCAACGAAAAACCAATGAAGGCGGATATATCCCGAAACTCCCCCTCAAGAGTGGATAGATTCCGTAAACACTTGTTCATAGTAAATCGAAGATGTAAGATGCTACTTCCTCGTACTTGGTGCTGGGGAACTCATGTCCCGCTTCGTAAAACTTGAAGACAACATTGCCATCCAGGGCAGCCGTGGCATCTGGAACAAGCTCACTTTTGACAATGATTGAATCACTATTACCACACAGAATGTGCACTTTGTTATCCGCCGGCCTTTTGTCTTCATTGCCTGAGGCGCTATTCTGTGCAGTTAAATACTCACCGAGACGCGCCCATGTGTTCCATTGGCGCTCTCGAAGGATTGGACCATAACGCATGCTAGACATGAACGCGTGGACAAACCCCTTATTATTATTCACCTGCCACGCCACGGTAGACGGGATGTTGATGTGGGGATACTCTCGGGACAGAATTTGAGTTGCTGCGGCGCTCTGGGAAGGCAGTTCTTCCGTGAGTACATCCGCGGCACTGGGCTTCTCGTTCTTGGGCCTGGACGAGGCCAAGGGGCCTGCCTTCAGCCGACGGCTAACCAAGGATGCTAAAATATTCTCAGGCATAAGACCCTTTGAGTAAAGGAGTCGACTTTGGAAACTGATATGCGAATCGCGGAGCAATCCCGAAGGGGCTAGGAGCACCAATGACGACAGAAGCTGAGGAAAGTAGGATGCAAAGGCAGCCGCAATGCCACCTCCCAGAGAGTACCCGGTAAGGCAGAATTTACCGGACTCTGCACCTGTCCAAGAGATAGGCGATGATGTCAGAGCGAGGAAGATCTGTGTCGAGAAGAGGCGGTCATCTTGTGGAAGATCAGCAGGGCAGTCGGAGTATCCTCTTCCGAACCTATTTTTCAAGGGTCAGCGATAAATCAAAGTGTTGAATTTTGTGCAACACGTACAAGTCAAATAGCATCACACGGCAGCCGCGGTCCACCAACGCATGGGCCACCCCGCCGAGCGAGATACACGGTGTGGTGATACCGTGCACGAACAACACCTTGGGTCCATCTTCTGGGCCCCATTCATACACTCGCATAGACCCGTATGGGCTAGCGACATCACGAGCACCGGGCAGGGCATCAGCCGGGAGAGGCAGTTTACGATTCTCCGACTCGGGTAAGACTGTCGACCGAGGCGATACGAGAACAGTCGGGAGCGATTCGTTTTGAGGGAACACCGATCGAGCGAGTAGACCAAGTGTAAACGAAGCCCCAGTCACTGCTAGCAAAGGGATCTGAGTCTGATGGTTTGAGAATGCACCAGAAAGGAAATCCACAGTTTCGTTGTACAGGCCCATGGTTGCAATTGCGGGAAGTCACCCCTGAAACAACCTTAGAAGCAAGTTCGTCGAAGATTGGAAAGGTGTTGTGATGTAATATTGACGACCTGAACCGACGAGAGTAATGAAGGAGGTACTACTCTGTAATGAGGGTAAACGAATGCACCGAGTTGGAAGACACTAGTGCTTGAGGGCTGCGACCGAGGCTCACCGCGCTGCCGTGTTGACGCCATGTGCCTGCCCAAGTGGTAAGATTAGATAAGATAAGATAAGGATAAACCTCGGCAGTTCGGTCAACCTGGTCAGTCTTGGAAGTATAGAGACCCATTCATTCAACACCAGTTAAACTACAAAATATAATCAGTAGGACCCTCAAGTGTTTATCTCAAAAAAAAAATAACATCAGATGGTCCTCTCCTTCACAGAATGTGTGACAGGTCCGCCCTCACCCACGCTGCCCGAGCCAGCCAATGACACTAAGGAATGTTGTTATCCCACAATATCTCACGTGGTGGCTATCTATAGACCAACTTATTTTCAGTATAAGCAGCTAATCAATGATATTCTACGATAATTCAGTGAAGAGGAATGTGCGGTAGTCGTGGGTGTGAAACTCAGCAGACGAGGTCATCCAACAGCGTACGTGTGCGATAGATAGATGGATTGAACCCATGACTCTCCTATGGCCAACCAGTTCGGCAAGAGAATTTGCAGATCAAGGTCTAGATATGAAGGACAATGTGTACTTTGACCAAAAAAATAGCACGGAGAGAGAAAGGAAGTATAGAAATACCTAAACGCGGCCCTAAGAGAAACCATGTAGTTACTCCGTACAAGCGCAAAGCTTCATATTATAGATATTGGCTTTTGTATTCAATCTTCTTCGGGTGAAAATTAGGGCTAAAATAAATTACGATTTGGGATCTAGTCAATCCGACAAAGGAGGGAAAGGTCGGATGAAGCTAAAAGCAGAAGTTAGCAAGGGACTCATTTGGAACTGGAATAACAGGGACACATACTGAGCAGGACACTCATACCCAGCAGGGTTATTTTGAAGATAGAGCTGGTGATATTCCTCCGCATCCCACCACTGGCCTGCTGGCAGGATCTTGGTAGAAAGCGGAGTTTTATACCACTGCTTGCTGACCTTGTCTGTAATCTCTTGCGCGATCTTCTGCTGCTCTTCCCCGTGCGTAAAGATCGCACTGCGGTATTGTGTGCCGACATCTGGACCCTGCCGGTTTTCTGTTGTGGGGTCGTGCATGCGGTAGAAAAATTCAAGGAGCTGACGGTAGGTCACAATCGAGGGATCAAAGACTATCCGGAGGGCCTCGGCATCTGTGGAAAGAAAAAAAGTAAGTATTTGAAGGTGCGGTCGCGATAAGAAATTCCGCGTTATTTCTGTCAGATAGGACAGCACTTACGGCCAGTTGAACCGGAGCAGACAGCTCGATAAGTCGGCGACGGAACTGGGCCACCGCAGTAGCCCACCTTGGCGTCGAGTAGGCCTTTGCCGTTGCCGAAATTCTTGCGGTACAAGTGCTCAACGCCCCAAAAGCAGCCAGCTGCTACGGTCGCGGTCTCCGTGCCTGGCATTTTGCGGGATTGGGTTTCTGATGTCAAGGGAAAAGCTGAGCTGGTGGAGAAGGAACGAAAGAAGCGTGAGAAAAGGGTCGAGGCAACCGGAGCGACGAAAGTCATTGGAAATTCTGGTGATGGTGGAGACGTACTTGATAAGTGGGGATGCTCGCGGGTTCGAAAGCGAAAGGGACCGTACAGGATGCTGTAAGACTAATGAAAGGGGAGCAATTTGAGGGGGATAAATATAAGAATCAAAGTCTCAGAACAAAGAATGAAAGGGAGGAAAGGGAAGAAAGGGAAGAAATAGAAGGGAGCTCGAGATTAGAGCTTCGCGATGGCGTCATCCTAGAATTTACAAAGCAGCGCGGGGAATTCGACAGGGATGGAAAGATTAGGGCTTCCAGCAGCCCTATCCGAGTATTATTGTGATTGTACAAGAGCTGCCCTCCAGCTGAAAACCAACAATGCAAGAACAGAGAGATAATAACAGGCGAAATCCAATAAGAATTCTGTCGTACAAATGTACAAAAAAGAAATGTGGTATCTGCTACGCCAACAAAACACCAGTTCCAAACAAGTCAAAACAAAATCAAAGCTAGTCATGAATAATTTCAAGTCATTCACCAGAGCCCACTACCACGCTTGCGAGTTGTGGTCGGCAGCAGGGGGTGCTGCCATCGCACTGAGACGGATGGCCTCTCTGCTGGAAAGGCTGATATTTCGAGGTCGGCCGTCTCCACCCAATGTTGTGCGGCGGCCCGTGTTCTTCATAACCGGGAGAGTGTGAGGACTCAAGACCCGAGGCTTGACATCGTGTTCTTTCTCGCTTTTGACCATGCGCCGCGCTTGTGATGCAGTGAACATGTGGTTGTCTGCGGGCGGAGTCCCATAGGTATTAGAAGTCGGGCTGCGACGGCGGTGAACTCGCAGAGTATTGGAGGATGGGTTAAACAGTCCACTAGGAATCCGTCCATTAGACATACGTCGCATGGCTGAATTGATCTTAATTGCATCTTCCTTGTCCGACTTCCAGTTGACCCTGTTTTCAGATACCGGACTGCTGGAGAAGTTGCCGCTGGGACTACGAACTGCAATCCGCGACGGACGATCCGTCGAGGGACGGTTCATAAAGCTGCTTCCTTCAATATCACGGAGGGGAGAGCTATCTCTTCTTGAAAGAGGAAGGCTGGATGACGGGGGTGGTGCCAATGGTGAGCTGCCATTTCTCTTGGCCAAGAATCCTGCCTTAAAGCGACTGCTGTTCTTTTGAATGTTCAAGGTAGACCCAGTGGATTCATCAGGTGTGGGTGAAATAGAACCGGCCGGGCTGATAACCCTCGGAATATTTCGTGGAATGGGAGATCCCGATCGAGGTGGCAACCATGACTTTTCAAAGCTAGTTTCATCGGCAGAGTCGACCTTCTTAGGGGTCTTTTGGAACTCGGTCAAAGTGCCGTCTTCCTCATCGTCCTTCCATCGGACGGATCGCTTGGGAATTTTCATCTGGACTTTCTTTGGCGAAAAACTGACACTCTTCCGGCTGGCAGTGCCTCTACGGCGACGTGGAGATCCTTTAGTTGGTGAAGCAGGAGCATCAGGGGTGAGTGTGACTGGAGGATTGGCGCTCGATACTTGTGGCAAGCTCACCAAGCTGAAGCGCTTCTTTGTTTTTGTGGGGCTTGCAGGCCTAGCAGAGCTGAGGTTCGGGACAGACGGCATGGTACCGTCTGGTTTGACAAGGTTGGTTGCTGCCTCTGAACAATCCTCTAACATCTTTGTAAGGATAGTCCGCCCCTTTTTGAGAGCCTCGTTGGCGTTTAGCTGCATGATATCCTCGATGGAGTTCATCATCTCAAACTGTGCTTGCAACAGAAGCTGCACGGCAGCAGCTTCTCCAGCCTTATCCTGTTCTAGCACAGCGGTCAATGCTTCGCGCTCTGCATTGGACCGAAGAAGATCTGCTTCTCGGTTCAAATTGGCATAGTCGCTGTTATCGGTAATGCCAAACTCTTGAAGCTGCTTTGCCGCGTTCTCCACCGCCGAGTTCACCGCTCGGTCCCAAGTGCTTTTTGCTAATTTCTGGTTGTAATGATGTCTGCTACCTTCCAGTTCAAGGAGGATTCCCTGTGCAGATTTGCGGACGGCATATAGGTTCGATAAGCCCTCCTCAGTTTCATGCGCGGCGCAAACATTATCAAAGGCCGCAATCCAGGACGATAAAATGCCAATTCTGCGGCCGATTTGCCTTAGTTTCAGCATGTTGTTCGTCTTCTCTTGTCGTTCGGGTAACGTATGTTCGTAGGCATTGCGAATCCGGGAAACGCCCTCGCGCAAAACAGCGTCTTTCTTCTCACCCTGCTTGCGGAACTTAGTGAAGGCTGCCTTTTCGTAGTCTTTTGCCTGTGCTTTGAGCTCATTGATCAAATTCATTTGCTCATCGATCTTGACCAAAAAGTCCTTCACATGTCGGTTAACGTTGAACACATTTCGTGTGACCTTAGTCTGGATGTTCTTCGCTCGATTCGCATATCGAAGTGTATTTTGGGTCTCGTCAAAGTGCTGGCTTGAGGGGCTGACGCAGACAATCATCACTGTCTTGCAATTGCCACCAAGAGCAAACTTAAGTAATCGAGTGAGCTTTGAGTTACGATAGGGGATGTGGTTGCGCTTTCGCGGGTCGCAAAGTGCATTGATGCAACTTCCCAGGGACAACAGAGACTTGTTGATATTGGCGCCTTCGAACAAACGTTCTCCCCTGTTCTGTGTCGCGCTGGCACGCTCACTTCCCGCTAAATCGATGATACTGAAAGTGGCCATAGTGTGAGGCTCATTGACGTCGGCATTTCGGTCTTTTTGGGCGATGTTGATTTGAAGGACGGCATGCGATCTTGATGAAGTAGCATTTGCTGCCGTAGGAGACATGGTGCGACGCTCGTTGCCTTGCATGATCATGTCCATTACCTCCCCCACATTGTGCGGGTGGTAGCTTGACAGCCCAGCAACTGAGACTGACTGGTTGGAATCCTCCCGCAGCATCAGTCCACCCTTTCCACTGCTACCACAAGGGACAAGCAAGTCACGAATGGTTTCGTTATAGATTTCGAGGTAGGAAAGAGAAATTTCGGTCGATTTGTCGTCTGCTCGTTCGTCAATCCGCTCAAAAAGCTCCTGCATAGTGAGAAAGATGATACCGGGCTGTTGGGCAGTCCCGGTGATTGTATGGGTCTTTCCACATCCAGTAGCTCCGTACGCAAATACTGTCGCATTGTATCCATCGAGCACGTTGTCGAGCAGGCTGCGTGTTGTAGATTCGTATACCTCTCCCTGGGAGGCATTTTGGTCGAAGATGCGATCGAAGGCGAATGTTTGGTCCTTGACACGCTTACCATTTGGCACCACGCTCCTAGAGAACTTTTGGACGGGATTGTCCTCTGGGGGGTCAAACACCCTAGTCCGGTTAGGATGTTGGACCCAAAACGTTCAAAATACATGGAATACTCACAAGCAACGGTCGTCAATCACTTTAACGATGGATCGTATACCCTTCTGGTTAAGCTTCGGCGTCGGCGCACCCGCGAGGGAACCATCACCTAGGAACAGCGGACCCTCGTCACATCGTGTGATCTGGGCTGCCTCTCTGATAGTAAATGGACGGACTCTGACTGTAACGCTGATCGAGGAAGCGCCGTCGGAGGCAGCCATGTTGGAAGGTCGGGTCGGATCAACCCCAAGTCGCGAGGTGTCTTGCGGGGCCGGTACGTCAGGCAGTTGACGACACCCTGCAATGGCAAAGCCAAGGGGGTAGCTTATCTATTTGTCAAAATTAAGGAATGTAGAAGAGTTGAAGAATGGATTTAAAGGTGTATGGGGTAGGGGGTGCAGGTATTCTCCGAGAGGGGCTCCTTGAAACGATTTCATTTGTTGATGCGTGTACATGTTGTCATCTACTGGTTGCTCCGAGCAACCGTTTTATGGTGGTATTTGGTCATTTTGGCGTGGCAATACCAGTCATTCAATACAAAGAGTTCTTAGTCACACAATATGTTGTGTGTTTCAGGTTCTGAACACGTCCTGTCTACTTTATTCACAGTCACTATGTTCAAGGTCGCCGGCCAAATTGTGGTTATTAGGCCTTTCATAGTATTAACCTCAATATGCTTAGACAAAAGCTGTAAATAGCTAGAAGGAGATTATGATGGTATTATGACATCGACTAACATTATAACAATTTCAGTGAATAACACCAATATTTACCATAAAGCGGGTATATTTGCTCTCGAGATATGGAAAATTCATGAATCAAAATCATCGCTTTCGTGTTGCTATTGTCCTAGTAATATCATTTTTCGTCTGAACAAACATCATATGATAGTTTGACCACCAGAGCCTCCTGAAACGCCGAAGGCCATAGAGATGTATACTCTGACCCTAGTTCTTTCTCGCAAATCATAATGGCCCTATCATTGTTCCTCGGGCTCATCTTCATAGGTCGGCATGATGACATCCCAGCCTGGATCTTCACCATCAAGGTCCATATCAAGACCGCCATTCTGATCCTCGGTGGATTTGTGGAACCGGAAGGCAATTGAATATCCGTTCTCTAGACCGGCCTCCATTACAGTTGGTGAGTCATTTTTGTTCATATTTCTTTTCGGGGCACCCTCGTTGTCCATTCCTGGTACATCTGCCTGGAGGCGTTTCCAGCCTTTTTCGAGGTCCGCTCGGTCGACAGGCTCACCGAACTCAACATCGGAGGTGGAGTCAGGAACAATGTCGCCATTAATGTTGGTAATATTTCGCGATTTCAGAGCATCCAGAAGCCTTTTTTTGATGAAGTAGAGTGACTCGTGGGGTTGGAGCATCAGAAGGATAGTGGTTTTATGCTTCTTGAAGAGGACGGTCACAGCGCGCGAGTCGGTTTTGGATTGCTTGGGAGGCTGCTTGGTAATTAGCCATCCTGCATTCGATAATATTTACTTGAAGATGTCAATTCTCATACCATCTTAGAGACCTGC